ACAAACAAACAAACAAAAAAAAAAACAACTCAGGCAACTGAGAATTTGCAGACTGTACTACTCTTTATTTATTTATTTATTTATTATTATTATTTTTTTTTTTTGGCGGAACTGGGGATTGAACTCAGGCCCTTGCACTTGCCAGGGAAGTGCTTATTCCACTGAGCCATCTCCCCGGCCCCTGTACTACTCTTAATGATGGGCCGGAAAGATAGCTCAACAGAATAAGCGCTTGCCTGGCAAGCACAGGGTTCTGAGTTCAATCCCTGGTACCACAAAACAAACAAACTCTTAATGATGAAATAATATGTAACAAAATTTGTGGCATATGTGTATGTACACATTCAATGTTTTTTGTTGTTGTTGTTGTTGTTTTGTTTTTGTGGAACCAGGGATTGAATTCAGGCCCTTCCTTGTGTTTGCCGGGCAAGCACTTATTCTACTGTGCTATCTCCCCAGCCCCAATGTAATATTTGAATAATTGTGTTATCAAAAGGTAAAAAACATTGTTTTGGTTTATTTTTGTGTGTTGAGACAGGATCCCCATTTGTGGTCCAGGCTGTCCTTGAGCTTGCCTCTTGCCTCAGTCTGTCAAGTGCTGGGATTATGAGCTACATACCTGGTTTAATTTTTAAGTTTGAATTTATTAATTATTTATTAATTTGTGGTGCTGGGAATCAAACCTGTTGGCCCCCTTGGTGCATTCTCAGCTACTGGGCTACACCCCCAATTTCTTTAGATTATTTTCTTGGTGCTGGGATGGGATCCAGGAGATCTGTTTTGATGGTCAGGAGGTAGGGCCCCATTCTCAGCACAAATAAAACTAGATTTACCTAGATAGAGCAGGCAGGGTTTTTTTTGTTTTTCTGCAAATCTGTGTGTGTATGTGCTGCCCCCTAGTGCTATTGGCTTTATGCTATAGGTTCTAGTGACCTTGATGTATCTAATCTTGTTTCTTGCCATTCTCTGTTCCCTGCCTAGAATTCAGATGCCCTTGCAATCCATGTCGGGTCCAAAGATTCCTGGGCATCACAACTTACCTGATATGAACCATAGAGAAGTGGTTTTATCTATATTTTTGCAATGCTGGAAATCAAACCCAGGACCTCATGTATGCTAAGCTAGTGCTCTACCACTGAACTACACCCTCAGCACAGATAGAAGTCATTTCCAAACTTTAGGTTGCACTTCTGATTCTGCAATCTAGTGTGAGAACTAGAGATAGAAACATTGGTTTATTGTGATACTAGGGAGAGAACTCAGGCCCTCTTGCATGCTGGGCAAGTGCTGTACCACCAAGCTTATCCCCAGATGTTATGACTCATATCTAGATGTGCTCCCAAAGCTTCATCTGAATTTTGGGATCAAGGATAAGATGCTGGGATTGGTTCACAGTAAGATGCTAGGGTTAAGGGTGTGAGTGCTACCAAATCTAAGAGACAGTAACCTGGATAAAACATGAGACAGAAAGAGGGCTGCTGTCATTGTTTGCTGCTTGCTACCTGCTGCCTGTTGCCTGTTGTGTGGTACCCTCTGCCATGTCACCCTGCCTTGAAGCCAGCCAACTATGAAGTAAAACTTCCGCACACTCGTAAGCTACAATGAGCCTTTCTTCCTTTAAATTTGAGTGTTGAATTTTTTGTCTCAGAAATGAGAAAAGTAAGACACTATCCAGGAACAGACTTTTTTAAAAGTATCACAGGTAATTCTGATACAGCAATATTTGGAACACTTCCTGAAAAATATGCTATGGGGGTGGGTTACAGCCCAGTGACAGAATTCTAAGCATGCACAAGGCCCTAGGTTCAATCTCCAGAACCAATAATAATAATACTCTATGTTTCTATTTCCAAATTGTACTCTCCCTTACTACAGAATTCCTCCCTTGAACCCCAACTCAAGTACTCTTGGCCTTTGGGGAATCTGAGATCAAATTAGTCACCTCCTTTTGCCAACTTCATTATCGGGTTTCCAGAACCATATCTTGGTCAGAGAGGGAGACTACGGCTGCCCCAGCAGTTAGCCCATGCTGAACAAGGTCAGCTCTTGCTGATCTGGCAGGGAGAAAAGTGAGAGAATCTAAGATTTAGTGCACCAGTTATGGGCCAGTGTGCCAGGTGATACTGGGCAATGAATCTTTGGAACCTACGGACTCTCTTCCATTGCACTACATTCTCAACCTTTTATATATATTTTTTATTTTGAGCAGGGTCTCACTAAGCTGTGATCCTCATGCCTCAACTGTCCAAGTAGCTGGAATTACACATGTGCCACTGTGCCTATCTTCAAATAAGCAACAAACCATGGCTATTCATTATTCACCCGTATTTTGTAGAAGAGGAAAGTACCTTTCATATGCTAGTAAGGAGCTGGAATTTGAACTTAAGTTTGCCTAACTCAGGAGTGCTCAACGGGGGTTGATTTTGGCTCCTAGAGGACATTTGGTAATGTCTGGATACACTTTATGTTGTCACAACTGAGAGTTGTCATTAATATCTGGGGTAGAGACCAGGGATGGTATTAAACTTCCTGTTGTACACAGCCCTTCATGCATACCAAGAAATTATCTGGCTCAAAATGTCAACAGCTGGGGCTGGGGGTACAGCACAGTGGCACAATTGCCTGCCTGACAAATGCAAGGTCCTGAGTTCAATCCTCAGTAAAAAAAAAAAAAAAGAGGGGGGAGGGGGAAGAGGGAGAGGAAAGAGAGGAGGAGGAGGAGGAGGAGGAGGAGGAGGAGGAGGAGGAGTAAGAGGAGTAGGAGGAAAGAAAATATGTCATCAGTCCTGAGGTTGAGAAATCCCAGAGTCATAGCCTGTGCTTTTGACCTGGAGGGTATAAGAAAAGGTTAGAGAGAAGAACAAAATGTAAAAGTGTCACCCCAAGGGCCCTGAGTAGGTACGGGATGGAGTTGCTAAGTTAAGGATAACAGAGAATGGGGCAGCTGGTGAGATTTCTCTTTCTTCCAAGCTTGGCCAGGGCCCTGCTCAGTTTCTCCCAACCTTGCCAAGTCAGTCCTGGGACTTCACACCAAACTTGTCCTGGAGTGACCCTGACTCCCAGCTCAGGCTTAGGGCAAAACATTTACTTGGGTCTTTCTGCAGGTCTTCCTAGCCTAAAAGTCTTTCACCGCAGCCCCGTGGCAGCTCCACATCAACACCCTTGCTGTTGGGGGTGGGAGGGAGCAGAGGGTAAAAGCATAGAGCAGCCAGGGAACCAGGTGAGTGACACCCCAGAAGTTAGAAGGGGAGTGAATAGGGGAAGACAAGAGAGTCCCCTCGGTAGGTCCCTGTCTGGCACAGAATAGTGCACCAGAGTAGTGAGCAGTTGGCCTGGGAAGCAGGGTTCTGACTCCACAGTTTGCTTTCCACAGCCTTTTGTTTCCCCTAGGTTTGGGCCTCTGTGTCCCCAGGCTGTCCCCAGTAGCCTACTAGAGCACCCACACAACCAGCCAGCATTCAAGGAATCCCAATAGTGGCCTCCCCACTGGACCGTGAGGGCGTGTCTGAGCCGACTGTGCTAACAGGAAATGCCTCTCATTCCAAGCTCAGAACCCGAAGAACTATCTCAGAAGGGGGGTGCTGGAGTGATGAAGAAAGGATCACACAATTATGTACCCCTTATTTGGGGTTCCAGTTCCTTTCCTAACTATCCACTGTGGGTGGATGAGGGGACTAGGAGGAGGATGTGGTAACAGCTGATTTGTCCCCTGAGGTCACACTTTCCAACAATCAGCTGTTACTGGGGCGGAAAGCAGGAAGTCTCTTTAAAGGCACAATGTTCTGAACACAGACTCAGAACTCTGGAGTTGCAAGGAACCATGGCAATCACCTGCTGGAATCTGTATTTAGCGCAGAAGCAACTATCCCACCAAGATCATCTCCGGGATTCAGTTACTGTCACCCTCACTATGCAGCTTAGCTTATGGAAAAGACGTGGATCCCTATCCACGTGTTCCTGCCTGGTGATGGTGATGAGGTAGACAAGCGATAGAGCTCACTGGGTCTCAGGCTTGCCCCTTTAAATAAGCAATTCGGCAGCTTTTGCCAAGTCATTGGGTTCATTTCAGTTTTTGCCCATCCCCCGCCCTCTAGCCTTTCATTGGCCCCTGGGGAAGGAACAGCTTCCTCATTGGTCTCCACCTCGAAAATCTCTTCCCTAAGTAGGCCTGAGTCAGTGAAGAGCTTTGGAGGGCGGGACAGAATGGGGACTGATCAAAGATTGGGGTTTCCGGCCAATGGTACTTTGGCACGGCCTTTCCCCTAATTTCTTTTTTTCTTTCCCATCCTCTAATGTCTGACCAGAAGCCTTCCCAGGAAAAAGTTCTTTGAGAGACTCTGGGGCTCTTCCGCGACCGGGACAAGACATTCACAAGAAAAGGCTCCTCTGGTTAGAAAGGGCTCCCAGGAGGGGTGAACTAGATACCTCCAGCTGGGGCTGGCGAGGTAAGCAACCTTCTCTCCTCCAAAAGCCCTCGAGAGTTCTACGAGAGTCTCTACTGCCCCGGAGACTGATTTCAATCTTCAGCTCTGCACACTCCTGCTGCTTCGCCTGCTCCACCTTCCTTTAAAGAGCTATAACCTCCTGCAGAGGCCTGCAAATCGTTCTTGGGGATGTTTAAAAGAAGCACTCATGGCTCTAAAAGTGAAGGGCTGTAACCCTTTAAGGACTTCCCTGGGATGGATTCAGCAATCAGTTTAAAAATGCCAACTCACAGAGTGCGTTGCATTCTGGGAATGAGAATGTCAAGCGGAGAACTACCTATACCAGTATGCACTGCAAACACACACTCCTTTACTTCCTTCTGCTCTTTCCACTCTGGTTTGACGTAGCGCACTTCTAACCAAGTCCCCCAGGCGAAGGCTGAGCCACGCCTTTTCATCTATTGGCTAGCTCTCGAGTTGGTGGGCGTGGCTTTGCGCAGCTTCGCTAGTCAAAGGGGTGGCTTCCTTGCCAATCCAGCCAAGATGACTGGGGAGGCGGGATCAGAGAGAAGTGCGGGTGCCCCCGAGTGGGTGTGGTCACGTTGCCCAGCAGTGGGCGGTGATTGGCCCTGGGCGGTGCGATCTCAGCTTGTGCGTCACGACGTCGCCAGCTGATCGGAGACTGGAGCCGGTGTGTGCTGGGCGCTGGAAAGAGACAGCTACGCCGGCCGTGAGGAGCGGACGCAGAGATTTGCTCCTCTACCTCAGCAGCCCCCACACCCAGCACCAGGTGGGTGTGATCAGGGGACCAGGTCACACAGAGAGGAATGTAACGGGGTAATGGTGGAAAGTAGGGTCCTGGCGGCCACACCCTGCCCTTCCGGGGGAGGGGAGAGGGGGCGGCGGGGCAGGGACACTCCGGGGGAGAGGGGCCTGGACTGGCTGTAGTTGTATTATCAGGAGGTTTAAGGAGAAAGTCCGAGACTTTTGGTGGAAGGTCTGACGGAATAGTTGAGAGGAATTGGGGCCAGAGGGTCGGGGGCGACTAACCCTGGCGCCCTCTGGTCGGGGAATACAGGAGCCCTAGGTTCGAGAGGTTGGAGAGGATCTGGACGAACAAGTAGCAGAGAGGTGCTTTCCTCTACCGGTGCTCAACGGGTCAGGGCTAGTTCAGTTCCCTGGCAGGGAAGGGGTCGCTTGGCCGGCCCCTCCTCTTGTTCCCTTCGGGGATGTTATGTAAGGGGGGAGGGGAAGGGAGTAGGGGGCGGCAGTGCGGGTGCCTTATGCAACCCAAAGGTTAGGGTTTCATCGCGGTCGGGCGGAGGGGGGGTTGGGGGGAGGAAACAGACCGGAGGAGGGCCTGGAAACTCTTACTCCCCCCTCCCAGCCTAACTGGACGACTTGGGCGGAGAGAAGGTCACCTTTGCACCTCCCCTCTCAGCCTGTCCGGTCCTGAGGCCCCTGGCCCAAGCCAGGCCCCAACCGCCTGGGAAGCCGGCTGGTTGGGTGGGGCGCTGGGTTAGTCATCACTGGGCTCCCTCTCTCCCCACCTCCTGGCCAACTCTTGGCCCCTCCCCATGGCCTCAACTAGGCTATCACCCCCACCTCCCTCTGGCCCTAGTTCCAGCCTTCAACTCATCTAGCCTGTCATCCTGGCTGTCATACTGAGCTAGAAACTGTCAGGGTGCCAGAGGGTTGATGGAGCAGCTGGTCAGAGGGTCAGTGCCCTGGGCCCACCCCGCCCCGCAGCCAAGGGCACCTGCTTGGCACAAACTCTCAGCAGCGGCTGAATCCTGTGAACTGAATGGAGTCGTCTCAGACCGAGGGGAGTTGGACAGAGTTGGACTGTCACACAGGAAAGGGACGAGACAGACACTACAAAGTCCATGCCTCCCAAAAGGCTTTCAGAAAGGGTTGAAAACCCCTACCCCCACTCTAATCTTTCTACTCTTTGTATATAAAAATTTTCATGGCAAAATCGCCTTGGACCCCTCAACTCTAGCACGGGCCATGCTTTTGGTCAGGGTGTCATGGTCAACCCGCCCTCCCCAGCTCCGGGCCCTCTAGCCTGCCACACCCCCAGCCCCCTCCCCGGGCCTTGCTGCAGGGCCCGGCTTTTCCTGCTGATTCATGCGTTGGAACTGTGGGGGCGGGGCTTAGAACTTGGAACAAAGTTCAGACATGGAGGGGCCGGCAGACAGCCTGGAATTCATACCAGATGTACCCGGAATGTGCAAGCGGAATGCCTGGCATCTGAGAGCCCTGAGGAAGCTGCCCAGCCACCCTGCCCGTACCTCCCTCCCTGCCAGCCTTGGGTTTGCTCTCCTCTCCCTCAGAGTCCCAAATCTCTCCTGAACTGCCAAACTCTAAACCACCTCCCTTCCAAACTGTTCCCCAATTTAGCACACACACACCCCTCTTTTTCCAGCTGAATTCCCTGTGAACAAGTCAGATGAGCTGATCACTAAACTCAATTCTGAACTTGAGGTCCAACTTCTCATTTACTAATGAGTTATTGATGGAGTGTGTCCAGGGTCTTAGGTCCTGCCCTCCTCTAATGTTGTAGCATGTGGTGGGTTGCTAAAGCGTTTCTGTAGTTTCCTTATGTAAAGAGGGGTAAGGGGAAGTTTAGAGCTGTCTTTTGCTTGTCTCTGAGCTCCTGCAGTTCCCTGGCTAAGCAAGAAATCTTCATCATTAAAAGGTTGAAAGTCTTAGCAGAGCTTTGACAGACCTATGTAGATCTTTCCCATTTTTTCCCCTCTTCCTTTTAGGAGTCTGTGCCTCCCGTGTCCTCACCTGGCTGAGCCGCAGTAGTTCTTCAGTGGCAAGCTTTATGTCCTGACCCAGCTAAAGCTGCCAGTTGAAGAACTGTTGCCCTCTGCCCCTGGCTTCAAGGAGGAAGAGCAGGAAGAAGAGCTGGTTTCTCTATCATCTGGAAGGTGACAGAACTGGGGCTGGGAAGGTCTGAAGGCAGAGGTGATGAGAGCTTTTGAGAAAGGGAACTCAGCTCAGTTGAAGAACTTTCATCCACAATGGTCCAGCAAGAGAACAGTTTTAGACTAGAGACACTGGCTGAATTAGAGAAAAGGTAGCTCAGAGTGCCCAAGGTTAGCCACTCTGTGTGCCAATAGGAAAAAAACAATAAAAGGGAAGTCTATCCTGTTAGCTAGATTTCCTCTTTGACTTCTGTATTTCCAGTTCTCCCCTACAAACCATTCCAGGTGAGCTCCTGCAGTGGATTTTGTGTTCAGGGGAAGGGTAACACTAAAACTCCAGTCTGAATAGTCATCCCATGCTTTTTTCTTTTCCTGTATTTTCTTAGACTTAAGATAATTCTAGATTCTAGATTTAGGGGTATTTATCCATAGGGAACATTTATACATCTCTAATTAACCACTTGTGGAATGGGGAATCCCACAGATGAGGATATAGAAGGGAATCAGAAGTCCATCCATGCTGACTCAGAGCTGGGCTCTCTTTCCCTTGTGGGTGGGAACAGTATAGCTTTTGACATAAATTGTTGGAGCTGGAGAGGGACAGATGGAAGGTGAGACTAGGGTTAGACAAATGCAAAAGGCCAGTAGGATCTGGTTATGGTGGGGCCCACCTGTTATCCCAGCACTCAGGAGGCTGCAGCAAGGAGGGTCCTATGAGGAGGCCAGCTTGGACTACAAAGTGACTTTAAGGTCAGCAGCCTGAACTGCACAGTGAGACCCTGTCTCAATCAATCATTCAATATTTTATTTTTTATTTTAAAAAATCTTTTATTTATTTATTTATTTGGTACAGGGTCTCACTATGCAGTTCAGACTCATAGTGATCTTCTTGTCTCAGCCTCCCCAACATTGGGATTACAGACATGAGCCACCATGCCAAGTTCTGAGGCCAGCATGGCATGCAGGACTAGGGATCGAACTCGGGTCCTTGTGCTTGCCAGGCAGACACTTAGACTGCTGAGCAATCTGCCCAGCCCCTCAATATTTTAAAAGGCCAGTAGTAGAAGCTCAGTCTCAAGAGGGACTTCCCACTAGACAATTGTGGCCTAAGGTTTTTGCTACCATCCAAAGTAGAACTCTGGCAGAGTTCTGGCTGCTAGTGCTGTTTTTTGTCTGATTTTGCTTTCCAGAGGAGTATGTGAGACTCAGTTCAGGCCTGTGTAGGCAGGAAATTCTCCCTTTGAGCAACCAAGGGAGTTGTATTGTGCATTGTGACCTCCTTTTGAACACCAGACAGTATAAACCATCTCCAGCTTCTCATGCTTGACCTGATGGGTTTCTCTCTTGGCCCAGTCTCCCTAATAGATGGTGATCCAGTTCAAGGGCTACAGGAAATTGTTCACTTTGGTGGGAGATGTGCAGGGAGCTCTATCCTAGTCTCCATTTATGACAACTGGAAAACATAAATAAATGAATAAATAAATAAGTAAATAAATATCAAATGTAGACCATTTACCAGTAGACCATTTACCCCAGCCTTCCTGCAACCTGAGCTGAAGGGTAGGATGTGTGTGGACTGTGGGAGACGGAAGTGGGTAGATGGAGTCTACCCGTAGGTTACAACAAAGATTGCTCAGTCCTTGGACATTGCCTCCATCCTTTCTTCCCCTCATCGCTTCACTGGCCACAGTGTGTGTCTTCAGCCCTGAGTATGTGGCTCTGCCATCTTCACCCTTCATGGAGCAGAGATGAGGAAGGCAGCCTGGCAGCACAGAGGCAGGCAGAAGACTAGTAAAAGACCAGGCCTGGAAAGCACAGAGCCCTCTCTGGGTATGCAGCAGAGGGGTCCATAATGGCCGGGAGCACCCCAGGAAGAGGGAGAACGGCCAGCCCCCACCAAGGACAAGTTTCCAGTGATCTGCTGCTTCACGCACCATTTATCTCCAGTCCTTCCTCCCTTGGGGATGTGAGATCGGAGTGAAGGTCCAACAGCTTTCACCCTCCTTCTTCCACCTCTTCCCTACCTACTCTGTAATTTTTATACGAATAACTTCAGAGAGCATGTGCCAGATGTGACAGGACATGCACAGGAAATTCATTTAAAAATTTCAAATGGATAAAACTGTTAAACCATATTCTTGGGGCCGGGGAGATGGCTCAGTGGAATAAGCGCTTCCCTGGCAAGCACAAGCGCCTGAGTTCAATACCTGGTTCTGCCAAAAAACAGAACAAAACAAAACATATTCTTCATTAGTAAATTAAAAGAAGGCAAATATCACTGTCTCCTTTAGCCACCTAGAATAGAAATAAGACCCAATGCTGACAAAAGAGCAGTGCCATACAGTGCATATGGAAATATAAATTGGTATGCCCTTCCTGGATGGAAGTTCAGTAATGGGTATTAAACACCCTAGAGGTTCCATATCCTTTGACCTAGTAATTCTGTGTTTGGGAATTTATCCTAAAAAAAAATTCAGAATTTAGTTGTAAATGTTTATCCCAGGATTGCAATTGAGAAAAATGGAAGACAACTGTTTGATTGGGAATTCATTTCTTTTCTGCTGTAATGAAAATTTGCAATAGGGGATTGCTTAAGTAAACTGTTGTATAGCTATCCAGATGGTGAAGTACTGCACAGCCATAGAGAGGATGAAAGAAAACTGCTCTTTGAATATTAAGAAGGCTATAAAAATAGTTTGTATTTATGTGATCTAGTTTTTTTTTTTGGGGGGTTGGGTTTTGTGTGTGTGTGTGTGTGTGTGTGTGTGATCTAGTTTTTAAACAAAATTTACTTTAAGGGCCTTGCATATAGCTCAGCAGCACAATGCCTACCTGGCAAGCTTGAAGTCCTGAGTTCAATTCCTGGTACCAAAAAAAAAAAAAAAGGTGCTTTAAAAATATGACTATAAGGGGCTGGGGAGATGGCTCAGTAGAATAAGCACTTCCCTAGCAAGTGCAAGGGCCTGAGTTCAATTCCCGGTTCTTGGAAAAAAAAAAAAAAAAAAAGACTATATTCTTGTATATACAGAATAGATTTTAAAACAAACTGAAGATGTACTAAAAATGTCATTATGGTTACCTTTGGATGTGAAATAAAACAATTGTAATTTCCTGTGTTAGTTTTTCTGTAATTTCCAAATTTTCTACATTGATTTGTATATTGGTCTTATATAATAAATAAAATGTATGAGATCAGTGAAATTTTTGTAATCCTTTGGATAAGTGGGTGTAGAAGGGAGGATGCACCTCACCCTTGGTGAGAATGTTTGGTTGGGATGCTAATCAGCATGTCACGTTTTTGGTTTGGTTTGCTTTAGTCCTCTGGATCAGTGTCTCACTCTAAGCAAGTGCTCTACCACTAGGCTATATCCCCTGTGCTGTGAACTTCATTCTCTCACTCTCTGCCCCCTTTTAAAATCAATATATTTACTGTGACTAATCCTTGAAATGCTCAAGATGAGCTGGATGTTGCAACAGCTGCTCTCTTGGGTTTAGGTGTTCCTTCCCAGAACCCAGGCATGAATCTGATAGACAATTTTTAGGTGTCCCACTCACCCAGTCCTGGTGGTATTCATCTTTAAGCCTTGCCACTCCAGCTATACTTCACCTTGTGCTTGGCAGAACAGCCACATTTGCTATAGGTAGGCTTCTGAAAGAGGTAGGCCTTGGAGCCATAGGGGCATCACTGTGTGTTGCTTAATATGGTATTTTGCAAACTGACCTTCCCTTCATCATCTTGCTTCTGCTGCCAAGACTAAAGAGCTGTGAACTTCATTAGGAGTAGCCAGAATCCATTTTCAATATGCAGGAAGCAGCTCTATGACTTGCTGGTTGGCAGCCAACTAGAGAGTTGTGGAGTGGAATAAGAAGGAAGGAAAAAAGTAAAAACCTGTCATTCTTCGGGGGATGAGGGATGGGAGGATTTTCCTCTCCAAGGTTGAAGAGTTCTAGAATCCCAATAGTTCAGCTGCTGAAAAAGGCACAATCTTTATTTTCTCTTCTGACTCTGCCTCAAACTGGAGGTGACCCTGTGTTACTTCTTGCCTTCACGTTGGAGGAGGTATTTGACGCACCCAACAGGTACAAAACCCAGAGAGAGGGAATACTTTTTCAAGACTGGTAAGTGGCTTCTCTTTCTTCTCTCCTTTGTACTATGGCTGATGTGCTTGGGTGGAGGGTAAGTAGACGGGTATTTCCTGGGGGTTGCTTCTCCAAAGTGGGAGCTGCTATTTCTTTTTGGAGGAGTTAAGTAGGGGAGCAGGACCCCTGTAATTACAGGGTTGGTGGGATGTGTCAATGGCTTGGAAACCTTGGAACACAAGAGCTCTCCAAAAGGGGAGGCACCCTGGCAACTGATAGTGAGTGAAAGGCCAGGCACTGAGACGGCTGGGCTCAGGCCAGTGGAGTGAGTTGCTCTAGTTTTTATCTCCAGGGTTGCGAGGGCGAGTGGTGAGAGATAACCGATAGGTGAGAGATGAAGCCGGGACAAGAAGGTGAAAGTTAGTAGGGCGGGGCTCCAGAAGTATCAGGTGAGATAGCAATTCCGAGGGGTTTAGGGCACATGGCGCTGGGGACAAATCCTTACTGACATCCCAGAAGGATCCTTGAGTTGCACGGCTTGGTGGTGTCCAGGAGCCCCCAAACAGCGGTCCCTAGCTGGAGCGGGACGCGTTCGTTCAGTCGTGGTGGCTCCGTAGGCGGTGGCCCCACGGCTGCTCCAATCGCTGCCCAGCTGAGGGGTGGGGGCGTGGACAAACCCAAGAGAATATAGCAGATTCCGAGGGCTGGTAGGGCGAGAGAGCCTGGGGGTCCAGCCCGCAAAGCAGATACTCAACCCGTGCAGGGTGGGGTGTCCGCTCAGGGGTCAGGCCCAAAGAGACGGACCAGGACCGCGCTGGATCACCAGGACATGGCGCCCACAGAGCTCCTGGCAACCGGCGCCTCCTTCGCCGTATTCCGGGGTCTGCACTGGGGGCTGAAGCGGCTGCCCACGCCGGGATCTACTGCTCAGGACCGCTGGAAGTGGCGGAACCAATGTGTCTCCCTGATGCACAGCCTGCTCACCGGGGCTGGGTCGCTGCTGGGGTGCGGAGCTTGCGGGTTGGGCAGGCATGGTGGGAGGGGTGAGAATAAGGGGACTGGAAAGCTGAGGTTAGAAGACCTGACCGGAACTGAAAAGAGACCTTCAGAGTCTGAGCCTGGAGTGCCGTGGGACTGTGGGAGGACATCCACACCACAGAGAGGGTCAGGGTTATACAGAGACTGACCCTGACTTCCTTATCTTCTCCAGGCTGTCGCTGTATCCCCAGATGGCCTCAGACCCAGCTCATGGCCACCCGTTTTGGGCCCTGGTCCTGGTGGCAGTGTCTGTGGGTAAGTCTGAAGCGAGGGTTAGGTCAGTGAGGGCAACTGTGGATTCAGAATGCCACGACTCGTTTCCCCACTTCCACAGGAATTAAATGTTTCTGGCATCTTCCTGAAGCGACCTAAAGTGCTAGGGAAAACAAGGCTGAAGCTACTTGCCTGGCTGTGCACAGCTCTGGGGAAGCCTGACATCCCTTTCCTGTCTCCACAGGGTATTTCCTGGCTGATGGAACTGACCTGCTGCGGAACCAAACCTTGGGCCAGACTTGGGAACTTCTCTGTCATCATCTGGTGGTGAGAGTCTGAAAAGAAAGGCCAAGAAATGGAGGCTTGCCCAACCTGGAGTCCCAACCCTCTTTTTAGTTTTCTTGTTTGTTTGTTTGTCTGAAACAGGGTCTCACCAATGTAATTTAGGCTGGTCTTGATCATGCTACATAGCCCCTGCTGGCCTTGAAGTCATAGCAATCCTCCTGCCTCAGCTTCCTGAGTGCTAGGATCACAGCCATGTGCCACCATGCCAGCTCTGCAGTTTGCGGTCCTCTGACTTTCCACAGAGTTTCTGACTCTTGGTGCCTGATCCTTCCGATCTTAGGCTGAATGAGGGCAAGGGATTGACTGCTGGCCAACCTTGGGAGTCTGTGCAGGGGTTTGGCACCCTTACAAGGGTCCAGCTGATAGCTGGTCACAGAAGTACTGAATATGGATCTTTGCTGAGAGAAGCAGGAGCCCTGGTATAGGATGTGGGGATGGAGCATAAAACCCAAGAACAGAAGTTGAGAGGTATGATGCAGGTGTGTAGTCCCAGTATTGCCAGACAAGAATGCAAAGCAAAGAAACCTAGAGTTGAGAACCCCTGGACCGCCGGGGAGATGGCTCAGTAGAATCAGCGCTTCCCTGGCAAGCGCAGGGTCCTGAGTTCAATGCTCGGTACCTCAAAAAAAAAAAAAAAAAGAGAACCGCTGGACCAAGGTAACAATTAAGTTGAGTATGGTGGCACAGGCCTGTAATCCCAGTCCTTGAAGCAGGAAACTTCGAAGTTCCAGGCCAGTGGGCACTGCATAGAGACTTCAAGTCCAGCCAGGATTATATAGTGAGGTCCTGTCTCAAACAAAACAAAAGTTAACATAAAGTTCAGGTTTTGGAGGTGGCCCTACAAAATTCTGAGGGACCCCTTGAATAAAGACTAAGAAATTGGGCCGTCGAGATGGCTCAGTGGAGTAAGAGCTTCCCTGGCAAGCGCAAGGGCCTGAGTTCAATCCCTGGTTCCACAAAAAAAAAAAAAAAAAAAGGCTAAGAAATTGATACATGATAGGTACAATTCAGGGAAGGTCTTCTGACTTTGACATCTGTCCCTAGGTGGTGTGCTGCTTCAGTTTTGTTGTTCTGTCTGGCCACTACGTGGGCTTCTCTGTGGTATGTCTGTTGGTGGAGGTGAACTCCATCTGCTTGCACCTGAGGATCCTGCTGCTGACTTCTCGCCAGGTGCCCTCTGTGGCCTTCAGTATGACCAGCTTGGCCACCCTGACCACTCTGGTCCTCTTCCGTCTGGTACCACTGGGATGGATGAGTCTCTGGATGTTCCAACAGCACCACCAGATACCTCTTGCTCTGATCATTCTTGGTGGAACTGGGCTGTTCACTGTGAGTGCCATTTCCATCAAAACAGGTCTCCAAATTCTGATCAGCGATGTTCTTCAGCCCCGGCCCCATCCATCTGTCCCTAAACACGAGGAGAACAAGAGGACCAGGACATGTTGCAATGAGCCTATTACAAGGGACGGTTCCACTCTGAACTTCAAAAACTAGAGAAAAGTGGCAAATTCGTCTTCGACCAGCCTTATGGAGTGGACTAGAAGATAAGTGGTCTTCACTATCCAGTCTCTCATGCGGTAAATAGCTGGACTGGATTACCAGTATCTCAGGTCCCTACCTCTTATCCCCCTTCTTTTTTTTCTACCTTCATCTTAGGAGCTAAGAAGACATGCTGACATTGGTGGCTGGGTGGGAACCTAGATTACTGTTCACTAAAGTCTATCACCATATGAGCACCATTTCCAGAAAGAGAACTCAAGAGGTACAGCCAGAGCTCTCAACAAAGGGTAGCAGGAGGTATAAAGCTGGAAGAAACTTCCAGTGACAACAGAAACCCTTTGCTCCAGCACGAGGATGGATAAGGATCCAAGAGATCTGGCATGGAGGGGATAGAGCCAGAAAGTTTGAAAAGAGACCCCATGTATGACCAAATCTTGGCAGTGGAGAAGAGGGCTTAAGAGATATGACCTGGCCAGACATAGTGGTGCATGTCTGTCATTCCAACACTAAGGAGGCTGAGACAGGAGGGTATCCATGAGTTTGAGGCTAGCCTGAGCTACATAAACAAGTTGAAGTCCAGCCTGTGCTATATAGTAAGACCCTATATCAAAACTAAAGAAACAAACAAATAAATACAAATAGATATGATCTGTTACCAGTAGAGTTGTGTGTGCCCACTGCCGAGTATCAGAAGAATGCCAGTCTTACAATTGCTGTTGATGTTTCTAGTTCTCAAAGCTGCACTACAGGTACCAAGTTTGCATTTAATACTAGTCTTACTCTATCCAGTCTTCTTAATTTTCTTTAATATCTTCTTTACAAAGAAAATACAGAGGGCTGGGGAGATGGCTCAGTGGAATAAGCACTTCCCTGGCAAGTGCAAGGTCCTGAGTTCAATCCCCCGGTTCCACCAAAAAAAGAAAGAAAATACGGATTCTTAGATGAATGGTCATGGGGCTATGTCTATCTTCTTGATTTTACTGTATTTTTTGGTTGAATTGTTTTTTAGGGAAGGGTTTTTTTTGGAGGGGGGTGGTTTATTTTTTGTTTTTGGTGCCAAGGACCGAACCCAGGGCTTCCAGCTTGCAAGACAAGCATTCTACCACTGAGCCAAATCCCCAGTGCCTATGTCTATCTTCTTAAAACAGCACTGAAATCGTAGAAGGAACTCAAGTGCCCAATCTAGGTGCCTAGTATAGGGATTCCTTAGTCTCAGGTTTTATGGAAGACTGAGGGGAGAGGTATAGCAGGTGAGAGGAGGCTCCCTTAGGCTGCAGAGGGGTGAGGTAATAGGTGACCCTCTTCTGAGACTCAGCCAAAAAGCTTTCTTCCCTCTATTGTTTCTGCTGCATTTTTTTTTTATTGCACAAGACCCTTCTGCAAAAAAAAAAAAAAACCCTTCTCTTCTCCATTAGAATAGCCACGTTACAGAAAATGTAAAGCAGTTAGGGTTGCTACTCTCCAAAACAATGGACAAAAACAGGTAACCCTTAATCTTCCATGGAAAAGAGATACATGTGCCAAAGCAAGAGACAGGAAGCTTTAAAAAAAAATACTGATAAGAGACTGAAGGAGAGGAAGACAAAGAGGGTGACAGAGACAGATATACAGAGATTGAGGGTTGGATAGAAAGAGAGAATAATTGATTGCATAGGGGAGATGGAGGCAAAGAGACTTTAAGAACTAGCATGAAAAGTGTTGGCACAAATCCTGAAAACAGCTGTGATAGATGCTGAGAAGGACTTAAGTCATAGAATTGGTAAAATATTCATAAACAAAGAGGATAAGAAAGGTAAGAAGAAAGGCGGACAGGAAGGAGCCCCCAGAGCAGGAGGTACAGCTAGTCTAGACAGTGAAAGTGAGAAGTCTGAGGAGAAGCGCTCTACTAACTCAGGAGAGTTGGCTAGCACAGTGGCAGGCCCTCAGGTCAGTTGGCTGAGAACAAAAAGGAGGGAAACAGTGGAGGGGGATTGGGCCGAGCAGTTGAGAGGCCGCAGGGCAGAGAGGAGGGGGCCACCATAGAGTCATTGAGGAGGAGGGGATATGTTGATTTGAAGACAACCAGGTATAGTGCCAAACACAAAGATAGCCAGGGTTCTATTCCCTGTGTGCCATGCTGGCCCTGCCCCCATGGTGCACTGAAACAGTGACTGAGACTGGGCTTGATGGCACCCGTCTTTAATCCCAGCACTTGGGAGGCTGAAAACCGGAGAGTCACTGTGAGTCTGATCTGTGTAGTAAAACTCTGTAGACCCCATACTAAAGTACATTTTAAAAAATATTCCAAAGACAGAGATACTTGATAGTATGTAAGAGGAAGGACCAAGAACTTGGCCGTTAGGAAAATGTGGTTGCTCTTGTAGGTCACCTAGTAAAATGCACACATTTTGTGGTAAGATTAACCACTTGGGGTGGACAGGACATAAATGGACAGAGATGAACAGTAACTGATCAGCAGAAGCTGGAAGATGACAACCAGCATCTGAGATGTACAAAGAGTAAACAAGGGGATGTTGAGGAGAATCACAGGGAGAAAAAGGAAGCAGGACAATTAATAGATATCCGAAAGGAGGAAGAAAGGGCCAGGGATGCAGCTAGGCGGCATAAGTACCTGCCTGTCAAGCACACTGCCCTGAGTTCGATCCCCCGGTACCAAAACAAATTGTAAACAAAAGAAGGAACAAAGAAAAAGAGGAACACAGAGATGAACAGAGGGAAAAGCAGATATAATAGATATGTGGGAAAAAAGAAATCTCTGCCTGAATCCCAGCCTGAGAGGCCAAGGCGGGAGGATCACAAATTCTAGCTCAGCCTGGACAATTCAGCAATTTACCAAGAACCTAGCTCAAAATAAAAATGTAAAAAAGGGCTAGGGATATAACTCAGTGCAAAGGCCCTGGGCCCAGTTAGAGAAAGAGGGAGGGAGGGAGGTAGAGAGAGGGGGAGAGAGAGAGGTGTATGCTATGCCCAGTGGTTCCTGCCTATAATCCTAGATACCTCGGAAGTTTTGGTGGGGGGAGAAGGAGTTCAACACCAGCCTGAACAATATGGTGAGGCTTCCAAGAATGAAAGATCTGGGTGGCTGTGTGGGGAGTTGTGTGAATTCGGTAGCTCTGCTCCATAGAAACTGAGATGCAAAGGGAAACTGTGACAGAGATGAAGGAACAGCTGTCAGTGTAGATAAACACAGGCAGAAGAGCAGAGGATTTAAATATTATGAGACCCCAAACTTGAAAGGCAAGGGTATAGGAAATAGACGAGTAAAGTAGATTTTCTTTTCTTTGAGACTGGATTTCACTGTGTTTCCCAAGCTGGCTGAGAACTCCCTGGCTCCAATGGTCTTCCTGCTTCAGCCTTCTGAGAAACTGGGAATACAGGTGCTTGCCAAGTACAATGTTGTTAGGCAGTTTATCCTTAATAGAGGTATCTTCAAAACTAATTTTCCATCTTTTTATGTATGTGTGTGGTGACAGAGATTGAACCCATGGGTGACATTGAAATATACTCAAGCCTTTTTTATTTTTAATTTTGCTAGTGTCAGGCCAGGGATATAGCTCAATGGCATAACACCTGCCAGGCAAGCACAAGGTCCTGAGTTTGATTTGTGGTACAAAAAAATTTGTTAGTGTCTCACTAAATTGTCAAAGCTAGTCACTAATTTTTTATCCTCTGGCCTCAGCCTCCTGAGTAGCTGAAATTACAAGTAAGTACCACCATGCTCAGATTTTTTTTTTCAGAACCAGGGATTGAAATCAGGCCCTTGTGCTTGCCAAGCAAGCACTTATTCTACTGAGCCATCTCCCCAGCCTACCATGCCTAGCTTGATATCTTAACCAAATACCTTAATTGACAAAAAATGGTGTCTGTCTTGAGTTTTCAAAGAAGTAGAGCAAACAATATGTGAAGAATCTGTTCCCTAAATATGGATTAAGGTCAATATTAATTTGTATGCCTGGCAAGTGCAGGGTCCTGAGTTTAATCCCTGGTACCGCAAAAATAATAATAATAATAAAAAAATAATAATTTATATCAAATCAAATGTGTTCTTGCTTTGTTTTGATACAAGGTCTTGCTATGCAGTTCAGACTTCTAGTGATCCTCCTGTCTCAGTCTCCCCAGTGCTGAGATTACAGGTGTATGCCACCATGTCTGGTTTCAGGGCTGGCATGGTGTGCCTAGGGTTCTGGGGCCAGCACAGCATGCAGTACCAGGGATTGAACTCAGGTCCTTACACTTGCCAGGCAGGCACTTAAGCTGCTGAGCTATCTCCCCAGCCCCAAGTTAAGTACTTTGGCACTGTTATAAATTCAAGGTGACATGAGTACCTCTCTTGGTACTACTTGATAATATCTATGAGAAATGACCAAGGACTTGCCCACTGGGAATATGTGGCTATTTTTGTGGGCCACCTAGTAAAATGTGTACAGAAAAGGTAAATTAGGAGAACACAAATGGACTCCTGAAGAGTTTGGGATCAGACAAATCTCTACCATTCTTACTCAGTGAGAGTTCAGGAAGGTGGTAGATTATGGTTAGTTTAGTTATGTAAGTAGGAATAACATCAACTGGAGGATGGGTGTGAGTCAAAGAATAGTCAACTAGACCCTCCTTGGTTGTTTCTTTTTAATACCAAACATCGAACTCAGGACCTTGTGCTTGCTAGTCAGGCACTTGTACCTTGTACCACTGAGCTGTATTTCCAGTCCTGGGCCCTCAATAGGGAGGCTCAAAAATGCAGACTGGGCTGAGGGTAGAGCAGAATAGTAGAACATGTTCTTAGTATATGCAGGGCTCTGGGTTTAACCTGCAGCAACACCAAACAAACAAATGAATTGAAAACCAGGTTGGCAGAAGTTATGTTTGGTGCAAGTCTGGTCACCACAGCAGCGCTTGTCAGACCTTACATGGTCCAGCAAAGTGGTCTAAAAGACTGACCCCATACCTGCCAAGCTACTTGCTGCTGAATTCTTCACTTCCTAGGATTGAACCCCAGCCACTGTGTTCTGCCTAAGCAGGTACATTAATCTGCTGAGCTGGCTGGCTGGCCCTGATAGTCACTCTTTTAAAGAAAGTACCTGTATTGATTTTTGGAGGGGTGTCTTTTTTTTTTTTTTAATTTTATTTTTATTTTTATTTTTATTTGTGTGTGTGTGAGAGAGAGAGAGAGAGAGAGTGTGTGTGGTGTGTGTGTGTGTGGCCAGCTCAGCCCACCAGGGGGCGGGGCTGGCTGGCATGTGGTGCTGGGGGATTGAACTGCGGTCCCTGATGCCTTGCCAAGCTTGTTCTAAGTAGGTGCTTTAGACCACTGAGCCATCTCTCCAGCCCCTGGAGGGGTGTCTTTTTGAGACAGGGTCTCCCTATATGCTTCAGGCTGACCTTGAGTTCCGTTTGCAGCCTAGGCTGATCTCGAACTTATAACAATCCCGATGCCTGAGCCTCCTGGGTGCTGGGATTACAGGCGTGCGCCGCCACACGTGGCAGCATCTGTGGTGAAATGAAATGTTTCCTT